ATAACGGAAGTAGTTGGTTTTTCGAAAAAATACTCGGACAGGTCAATTTTGTTTACTTAAAGTGCAATTTTTTAAATAGAATTCAATTTTCCCGCACTTCCCATTTTTGGGCAGTGACGTCAGTGACAATTTTTTTAAATAGTAACCCCAATTTTTTTTTCTTGATTTTGATAGATCTTGCAATTTCCTACTCGGAAACATAATATTTGTAATATCTGACATAACAATTTTTTTTGAATAAAAGTCATTTAAAGATCAGATACATAAATTTTATTTTATTTTGAAACACAATAAATGAATAAAAGATTATTTATAATTTTAGTGCTTCATCTAAAAAAATAATAATAATAATAATAATAATAATAAAAAGAATTTAATGACAATTTCACAAATTCTTTTTTATTATTGTTATTATTATTATTATTATTAATATTATTATTATTATTATTATTATTTTGTTAGATTAAGCACTTAATTACAAATAATTATCTTTTATTCATTTATTGTGTTCTCAAAATAAAATAAAATTTATGTGTGTAATTAAGTGCTTAATCTAACAAAATAATAATAATAATAATAATAATAATATTAATAATAATAATAATAATAACAATAATAAAAAAGAATTTGTGAAATTGTCATTAAATTCTTTTTATTATTATTATTATTATTATTATTATTATTATTATTATTATTTTTTTAGATGAAGCACTAAAATTATAAATAATCTTTTATTCATTTATTGTGTTTCAAAATAAAATAAAATTTATGTATCTGATCTTTAAATGAATTTTGTTAAAAAAAAATTGTTATGTAAGATATTTCAAATATTATGTTTCCGAGTAGGAAATTGCAAGATCTAACAAAATCGAGAAAAAAAATTGGAGTTACTATTTAAAAAAATTGCCAATGACGTCACTGCCCAAAAATGGGAAGTGGGGGAAAATTAAATTCTATTTAAAAAATTGCGTATTGAGTAAACAAAATTGACCTGTTCGAGCATTTTTTCGAAAAACCAACTACTTCCATTATAATGAATTTATTCCTTTCATTTGAACCATACTGTATATGCTACATATCAATAATAATTAACCATATTGACACACATATTTCTTATATTTCTATATTCAACCGCAATACTAAAGGTAATCCTTTCTAAGAATAAACAAAACGTTTTTTTTTTTATTTTTTTCTATATCTGGTCATTACGACGAAACCACTAACAAACATAAGTATTTATGTGGTCATTTTATGTGTGGTTTTCTATTTCTATCCAGCCAAAACAATTATAATTAGATTTACTTAATTACCGAGTCGGCTTTACTGACCATAACAATCGCCGTGTCTTCATAGTACCGACGGTACCACGAAAATAGTCTTTAAGGTACTAGTCTAAGCATTATCAAACGCTATCAAACTTGTATAGCCTCTTAATTGTCAACCGTTGTCAAAATCTTTGAATATATATATTCAAGGTCAAAATAATTCACCATGATCTGAACTGTCAACGGTTTTCAAAATTGTACCCCCTTCTATGAACTGTCATCTGTTGATAAAATGGTATATCCTTTCTGAACTGTCAACCGCTCACAAAATGGTACAAGAGCATCTGTCTGTAGCTCTTTGGCAAATTTAAAATGGTTTTGACAGCTAATTTTTAATAAGAAATACAAATGTAAACATATTATGTATAATATTGCATTTACTGGTAGAACCAAAAAGGAGGTACATCAAGATGAGGCTGATAGTAGTAAAGCAGATGACCAAGAAGAAAAAATTAAGGAACATCCGAAAACTTTGTCAAACGATAAAATTAATAAAACCTAAAAGAAAAGTAGATCGTTAGAAAATGTAATTGGAATAAAGAGTTATTAATTTACAGAATGTTAAAACTTATGTTGCAAAAACTTTTAAGAAATAGAAAATATTTAATTAAAAGTTTTAATATAGTAGTTTGTGCATCAAGATATGTACAATCCCCTCGAGTTGAACAGTTTATTTTTTCTACGAATCACTAATGAAAATCTACAACTGTTAAAAAATTATTTTAGGTTATTAAGATAAAATAACTAATTTAAAAATAATTTATGATTCTACTTATTTAATTTTTTTGCAGTGTTCTCACTACCTAGAATTAATATGAAATATATTCGATCAGTTGAACGCAATAGCATACTTTTTCGTTTTGTAATCAGGGCATATATTCGGGAAGGTGGGAAGAGGGGGTGGGAGGGGGGGGAGGGTGCTTGGCCCCACGTCCACTTTAGATCCATTTGAGGGCCAGAACGTCCATATCTGTATTCAGACAACCAGTTTATGATTATTAATTTGACAGCTGCATATCGATGTCCAGAGGACGTCTGATTTTGGACTTAATTTTAAGTTTAGTATTATATTGACATCCACTGGACGTCCATCTTAGGTCATTATTTATTTAGCCTACCAGACAATACCCATCTATATATAAACACTTTTTTTATAGAATTGGTCATATTATAACCGTATCTAGTAAGAAATTTTCAAGTGGCTCCTTGGTCGAGGTCGCCTAGCGCTTGAATGCCTAGAACGACAATGGATGTATCGTGAGTTCGATATCTGCTCTGGTCAAGTGATTTTTAATAAAAAAAAAAAAATAAATGATAAAGGGGGGTTGCGTAATTAATAAATAAATTATTAATAATATAATAGTGTGTGGTGAGTTGCGGTTGTGTAAAAAAAGTGAGGATGTGGTCGCAATGGATTATAATTTTATAATGGCTTTTTAAATGGATTACCCTGTATTAATTAATTGGTGGTATTACATATAGGGTATTCCATTTACAAAAATGAGAAAATCGTTACCCCTCATTTTGAAACACCCTATATACAATATAGCAAATAAATGAAGTATATTAAAGTTGTTTGACGATGTGAAAACAAATATAAAAATGTATAAGTTTGGTCAGCCCCTTGTTTATGGACCACCCTGTATATTTAAGAATTTTTATTAAACGTGGTGATACAACTTTTATATTAATTTGTTTTTCCTACTTCCAATAATTAAACAGCTATCGATCAATTACGCACTATTGGGACATGTTGGTAACGTTGGATAGGTAAATTTATAAGGAATTTTATGCGAAAATAATATATTGCATTTGACAAAATTGAGTAAATTGAACTTAAAATTAGCCATATTTAAGACATGTTTTAAAACACTCTGTATAAAATTAATCAGTTCTATCACCTCGGAACTCTTGCTGGTCTTGTAAGAGTTCATTTGTGTTCCATTCGAGAATCCTAAGACCAGGAGTCATTTTCTCTTTTAACGTCTATTACTATTTTCTAGTCTGTCCAGCCTTTCTAGAACTTTTTTGTTAAATTCTTCCTATCTATCCATTTGATTCATTATTTTTTGCTGCATTGAAGTTATAGGATCAGTACTGCTCTCTATTGTCGGTTTTATTTCATTACTTGCTATTTGGGCTTATGGTATATCACCTTCCATTAATGTTTGTTGCCTTCTTACAGTTTTCTCTGGATTTCTTAGGTTAATTTGGTTGACTGTATCTTTCTGATTTGTAGTTTTGTTTCTTATGCTCTGCAGAGCTTTTACAGTGGCGAAACCTCTATACTTAGCTGGGTGGGTGCTCCCCTTTACAGTGTATGCACGTAGGTGCTGTACTAGTGAAATGTAAGTAGCTTTGTTTTGGTTTACTTCCGTAACTGTTTTAAAACTCTTCCAGAACCTTTGAAAGGTATGTGTTTTGGTTTTTCTTGAGAATGGTTCCATAACCATTCTTGAACAGTAACGTCGGTTCTGGTCCAAAGCAAGAACTGTTTCAGAGCTGATATGTTTGTGCTTGCGCTTTTATTGCAAGTAGTTTTGTTTATGGTCTTGAAATTTTTACAAGGAATTTTCGAATGACTAATGAGAAAGGAGTAGTTGATTAGTTGATGTTGGGTCATAAGATTTCTTATGAATAAATTATTTAATTTATCTACGTTTTACAATATTATATGGCTTCTTTCTTACCGAGACAATGACCCTGTGTTATTTCTTTTTGACATTTAACTGTTCTGACAGTGTTTTGGTTTCGAGTACAACTGGAATGGTTTTCGGAACTGTTCAGAATTAGGCATTCCAAACTGAATGGCTACCAGTGGGTTCTGACGGGTTATGATATGGCAAAATTATGGCAATCCTGTAGGCCTGGTGATTTGACAAGGTCAATGAAATAGATAGTTACATAGATTGATCATCCAGATTTTTCAAAATAAGCTTATGCCTTGAAGTAAAAATGTAAGCAATTATTTTTTTTTTAAATATATAAAGGCTAAAAATTGGTTTTAAAACACATTTTTGCTAAACCGATTCAAATTAATAAATATTTGCCAGGCAATATGGCTGCTCGTAAACGACCAGCTTTGAGCAATCTATATAACTATATATGTATCATTGACCCTGTTAATGACAACATGACAACAGGGTTGCCATATCTAAACTGTCATTACCCACTGGTAGCCATTTGGACAGGTCGTTGGAATGCCTAATTAAGGACAATTGCACAATAGTTCTGCGCATGATTCTGGAACAATTCTAGAACGTGAACCAAAACAAACCTAGTACAACAAGATATCCTGCTATATATTCGAGAACGTTATATGTGGTTTCTAGCAATTGTTTTCTTGGTTTGTGCTTGAACTGGTTAGATTTGCTGGTATATCAAGCCTAACATTCCTAATTGGGTCTCATCAGGCAGCGGCAGTCAGCTCGAGTAAAATCTTTAATTTTCCTTGAAAATAATTTGACTATTCGAATTATACATTGTATTATTAGTATAATAAAAAATGAATAACCAAAATTGACGTTGCAACTTTTTAAAAGTAATTTTTTTTAAAGAAACAATACAAGCACCGTAACGTAAACATCCCAGACAGAGATAAGCATGTCCTCCTTATTATAAATATATTTTTTTGCCCGCTTCGCGACTGTGCCACTGTCAGTTTCATCGCATAATAAACTTTTTAAGCGTGCCATTCAGTTTGAATGGTGACCGCGTTTCTAGGCGGTTGTTTGTTTTCAAATTTTCGAATCATACACGTCGGCGGCGGGCTGAATGCAATTCGAAATTTTCCGAAATTTCCGATTTTGAATTATATATTGAAGTGCGTCCGAAACGAGAAAAGTGCGAAAGTGGAGTAGGCGGTTTTCTCTATAAATAAACATTGATAGTGATATAACTGTTTCACGATTTTCCGTGCTAATTGGATTTATGGAATTGGGTAAGGTTTTTTTTTTTAATTATTAGAGAAAATTGGTATCTGGGTCTTCTAGTAGCGAATTTACTAAATCAATTTATAATGGTTCGAAATTTATCTTGTTTCTCCCAATTTTTATTCCCTTTTAGAGCCTTTCTTCTTTTTCTTCGTTTATTTCGATTTTTTCTTCCTCCTTTTCTTCTTACTCATCATTGTCTTTCTTTTCTTACTCCTCGATGAATCCCCTGCAATAAATTTTTGGAAAATGCCATGTGTTTTTGAAAAAGAATGGAATTGTTCACTAGTCTTCCCTGAAGTAGGCGCATCACGTAAAATTTTTATTTCTGCCTGTCTTGATTTTGCATCAACAACAACTAAATAGTAATATCCTTGAAACGGTCCGGCCTAATCTATGTGGATAAGATCCCAGTTATCCAAAGGTACATTCCAATGGTGTAACTGTATCTGTAAAATTGGCATCTGGGTCTTCTAGGAAGGAATTTACTAAATTAATTTATAATGGTTCGAAATTTATCTTGTTTCTTCCAATTTTTATTCCCTTTTAGAGATTCTTTTTCTTCCTTTATTTCGATTTTTTTTCCTCCTTTTCTTCTTACTAATCATCTTCCTTTTCTTATTCCTCGATGAAACCCCTTTTTTTTTCCTTTAAAACCCTATTCTTCCCATTTTTCCCACCCTTGCAGGTTTCTTCATTTCTATTTTTGATCTGTTCTTTCTTCTACCCAGTTCTTCTATTATGTATTCCAATTTAGAAGTAATGATTGGCCTTCATTTTAAATATGACCTATATTTCCCAAAAGTTAAAAGGATTCCTCTCAAATTAAAATACTTTTCATATATAATGCACCAATTTCTAGTGACCAAATTTTTATATTTTTTATTTTTCTTGAATAAAAATTATTAAAAAATTCCAAAAAAGCTTCCAATAAGCCTAATACTAACACGAAAGATTAATGACAAAGTTCTTGTTTTTTTTTTTTTAATATTTATCATTAAAAAACATGTAAAACTGTTTTCTGATACTACAGCATCAGGGGTACTACAAGGGTCTAATTGTGGGTCTCTACTTCGCTTGTACCCTATCAGCGATATTACTGACTTGCTCATAGCTCCTATTTGCAAATGATTAAAGGCTGTTAATATTATTTATATACTAGAAGTAGAGCAATAGATACAAATAAGAAGTCAGAAGAATAAGGGCCTCAAAAATGAAGTACCTAAAAAGATATAATTAGAAATATCGTAATTAGAAATTTTGAAATGGTACCAATAGAAGAATACTATAATATTGAATACAGATATAGTTTGAAGTTGTGAAAGATCTTCAAAGAATAAAGAATGCAGAGAAGGTAACAAAAGGCTGAACAGCTCATAGAAAAGTCTTTAGATATATGAAAATATTTTAAAGACCTAGGATCTTGCTTTTCGCTAGATCCAGATCCAGGATATTCACAATATATTTTGCTATTAGTAAATAAGAATCCACCTACAACAAAATAGATAAATTGTAGACAATTTCCAAAATATTCAAGGTACAATTAATAAACCTTACACTTTCTGGTGTTGTAACATTTTACGTAGATAACGTTTTTGTTGATGAATTTTAAACTTGACTTTTAATAGCCTGTTAATAGCTAATTTAAATAAAACTGGTATAATAAATATTTTAATGAGTGTTAAAAAAAAAATTGAGACAAATGCCTACTTGTATTAATATTAATTAATAAGTATTGAAAGTTGTTTCAAAACTGAATAAAATTGCTAAAAATTATAATATTAAAGATCTTATGGTGTTGTATAAACAGTAAAAATAAGTTTGTAATTCCAAACTGTGAAGATAAACATATTAGACGTATACAGTCAAATCTTTCAATCATATATTAGATAACGTAAGCACGTACTTATATCTATTTGGAATAATAAAATTATAATTACTACTAAAAATAAAACGATATTATTTTTGGAGAATTTATTTGTCTATTCATTATATGAAACCAACCGTGGTTAATTACTAATTACCAGTTTTAACCGAATTTATAAGATTGTTTTGTTTTAATTATAAAATTTTGAAATATAATGTTTATATTATGAACAGTTCAAAACTGTAAATCATAATGCTTGAATTAATTTCTAGTTTTTTAGATGATACTGACATGGTTAGATTAGTTAAAATTTATTTAGTTATTGTTACTCGTTTAATAACTCAAAAACGTTTCGTTCGATTTTTATAAAATTTGGTATGTAGTTATTTTAATTGAAGAGCCATTGTTCAAAGCGAAAATTACACCTACTAAAATGATGGAAGGGTAAAAACCACCCTAATCCCACCATACATTTTTTTATGGAGAGCTGTATTCATTTGTAGCATTTTTGTCTCTTACAAAAAACGTATCTCTTATGGCTTTTGTGTAAAAAAATTTTATGAATTGATTGTTAGTGAAATTTCCAAGAAAATTTCATACCTTTACTTTTCAACCAATAAGATTCCTTAATTTTAACATGGCAACTAAAAAAATTTCCACGATATTTAAGTGGAAATTTTTTGACAGTTGAAAAGGTAAACATATATTATGATCTACAACCATTAAATAATCTATATATACCTGTGAATAATACAAAATTTCTATTAGAATTGCTAAGCTCCAAACAGATATAACTGACCCGCCCTATATATGATGTCTCGATGACAACGTAAGTCCCTTTTTAAGAAATCAATTCATGCTTTATCATCACTTAAAGTTAAAATACCACACTTACGGGATAATCCCAATTTAAACAGATTGACTGACTACATGCATTCATAAACGAGGCCACCTACAACGATTTTATGGGTTAATTCTTCAAATTGAATAAACGCTGCTTCCATACTTTTGCGCAATACAAATTCCGTGTAATAAACCGAGAAAAACGTGATATGTCAGTAAACTGTAAACAAGAAGAAATCCTTTTCAAATAGTTCAAGTTTGCAAATTGTATAGGGTTTTTCATTAGGGACGCGATTTTTTATTAGCTAATATAAATACAGAATATCGACTGCAATTATTCAATTTTTTATTGAGAAAATAGTTATTTAGATTGTGTTGAATGCTATTTTGAATTAAACTCACTGTAGTTGAACACTTTTTTATTTTTAGAAACATAACTCAAAGCATTATCGACATACATGAACATATTACAAAAAGGATAACCTTTAATTGATGTATGACAATTGACAAACTGAACTTGACATACCTACGTTAATACCAACATAAACAAGTTTGTCAACATAAATTAATATTAAAGGTTTGGTAATTAATATAATAGTTTTAATTTTACCACTAACTATTTGGCTTTAGAATTCAGATATAACCTTAAAATCTGAGTTAACTGAAAATTACCACTTCAACAAAGGGGGCGCGAGAAAATTGCCTCCGAAGAGATAGATAATCGAATTTCAAAATTAATAATCATATCCGATAATGTTTAAAACTTTAATAAAACTAAATAACCTCTATCTCTTATTTAATAATTAACAATCATAAAACTGATAGAAAATATTCATTTTTTCATGGGAACACGCGATGTTCTGTTAATTTTATTAAAGTTAACTCACCATTAGACGTCATTAACACCTTGTACTAAAACAACTCCGAAATACTCACCTGAAACAGAAAAAAAAACAAAAATTAGTAAAATATGTCCTCACAAAAATTCTTTGAATGGAAAGCCAAAAAAACAAATATAATTATTAATGTTTACAAAGAAATCAACTTGACAGGCATAGAAAGTACCTACAGATCATAAATTTAGCTTGCTGCGTGTTTAGAAATTGGAAACCAATTTAAAATTTAGTTATGGAATTGTACATGGGCAATGGGACACAATAACCAAATACATTTATACCAGTAAAGGTATTTAATCAGTATTGACACTCCCTAGGGGGAAAAAGACGCTCATCTTTTACTGCGCTGACGTTTTCGGTATTAATATAATTTTCTCGTACAGTCTGTTCGCTATACTTACGCGGGTTTCGGATTAACAAAATTATGCAAATTAATCATTGACAACCAGTTCCAATAAGCCACTTCCCAAGAAATTAGGTAAAATTGCCCTAATGGTCAGATTTAAATTAAAATAACATTAGGGTAGGTACTAAATTTGTTACAAATATTTGCAAGTGTTGACATTGTATGTATATTGTAAATTTAGTGGAAATTTTAAAAATGCCTAGACGTGTGTTAGATGTAGATAGTCTAATTTGTAGTGTACATAAGTATTTTACGGATGAAAATGAAAATGGCGGTCCTTTAAAATCGGTAATGTCTGTACAACAACGCGTATGCGACGCTCTAGGAATTAGTGAAACCAAATTAAGAGGAGTATTATAAAATCACAATAGTGAACTGCCGAAAGAAGATCACCGCAAAACTCGCCCATCATTGAAAACGAAAGATATTCCAGATGGAAAGAAATTTGAAATTCGTAATACCATTTATCGAATGAGGGCCAACAAGGAACATGTGACCTTACAATTCTCTCGGAATTAATAGATAGAAAATTTGACGACATTGGCAGAACAAGTCTATGGCAAGTGATACATAACTTGGGTTTCAAATTTCAAAAGGAGGATAACAGAAAGGCCCTTTGTGAAAGAAGTTCTGTCGTGAATTAACTTTCTAAGAAAATATTCTAAATTTAAAGAAGAAGGGGCGAATTTTATATATTTAGACGAAACATAGATATTTTCTAGGGGTGCAACCAAGAGAATATGGCAAGATGATAACGTAAAGTCCATCAAACATACCGATGGAGAAGGGAAGCGACACATTATTTTACATGCAGGAGGGAAATCGGGTTTTATAGAAGGTGCTAATTTAATATTTTCATCTAAATCAAAATCCAGTGACTATCACGATAATATGAACACAGAAATGTTTGTAAAATGGTTGCATGAAAAACTTCTCCCAGGTTTAAGTGAGCCCAGTGTAATTATTTTGGACAATGCACCTTACCATTCTGAAGTATTAAA